GATACATCAATATATATCAGTTATAACCATCAATGTAAATGGTCCCAATTCACCAAAAAAAAAAAAAAAAAAAGACTGGCAGAATTGATCAAGAAACATGATCCAACAATATGTTCCATAAAAGAAACACATTTAACTAAAAAAGAAATTAATGGGCTGAAAGTCAAAAGATGGAAAACAATACTCCATACAGCAGGAACCCCAAAAAAGCAGGGGTAGCTATTCTCTTTGCAGACAAAGTGAATTTCAACCCAAGACTGATTAAGAGAGACAAAGAACTCACTACATTCTTGTTAATGGAACAATCTAAGAGGAAGAGATAACAATTATAAATATATATGCACCAAATACCAGTGCACCCAACTATATAAAACAAATATCAACACAATTGTAATGGGAGACCTCAATACCTCACTGTAACAAATATACAGATCAACTAGACCAAAAAATCAACACAGGAATATCAGAACTAAACCAAATTTTTGAACAAATGGACTTAGTAGATGTCTACACAGTATTCTACCCCACAACATCAGAATACACATTCTTCTCAGCTGAACAGGGGAAGTTCTCCAAAACAGACCATATATTAGTTCATAGAATATATTTATGTAAATACAAAGAAACTGAAATTATCCCATTCATATTATTAGACCACAGTGCAATGAAATTGGAAATCAATGACAAAAGAAACCCAAAAACCTTCATAAACACATGGAAATAAAATAACACCTTCCTGAACAGCCAATGGGTCACAGATGAAATTAAAGAAGAAATTAGACACTTTCTATAATTAAATGATAATGCCAACACAATATATCAGGACTTACGGGATGCAATGAAAGCAGTCCTAAGAGGGAAATTTATAGTGGTAAAATCCCACATCAGAAAACAGAGTGAGCTCAAATAAACAACCTAATGTCAAACCTCAAACTTCTAGAAAAAAGAAAGCAAGTCAAGCCCAAAGCTTGTATAAGGGAGGAAATTATAAAGATCAGAGCAGAAATTCATGAAATGGAGACTAAGAAAACAATATATAGAATCAATGAAATTAATAGTTGACTCTCTGAAAGATTAAATAAAATTGACAAACCCTTAGCCAACCTTGTCAAAAAAGGGAAAGGATAGACTCAAACCCATGCAATGAGGAAAGAAAAGGGTGAAATCACAATGAATCCTGAAGAAATCCAGAAAATAATCAATATCTACTTTGAGAACCTGTATTCTAATAAGAAGGAAAACAGAAGAAATGGACAGATTTCTAGATACATACCAATTATCAAAGTTGAATTAAGAAGATATAAAGATTCTAAACTGAAAATGTAATTAAAAATATAGCAACAAAGAAAAGCTCAGGCCCTGATGGTTTCACTGCTGATTTCTACAAGACATTTAGAGAAGATCTAATTCCACTACTCCACAAACTCTTTAATGAAATTAAAAGGGAAGCAATATTCCCAAAATCATTCCTGGAAGCAAGTATTACCCTGATATCAAAACCAGAGAAAGACCCAATCGAAAAAGAGAACTACAGGCCAACCTCCCGAATGAACACAGACATAAAAATCCTCAATAATATACTGGCAAACAGACTGCAACAAATCATCAAAAAGATTATACACCATGACCAAGTAGGATTCATCCCAGGAATGCAGAGATGGTTCAACATGTGCAAATCAATAAATGTAACATATCATATTAAGAGCCAAAGACAAGAACCACATGATCATTGTGATAGACGCAAAAAAATCATTTGACAAAGTCCAACACTCATTCATGATAAAAAAAAAAACCCTACAGATGGTCTTTATCTCAATCTGATGAAAACCACCCATGACAAACCAACAGCCAAGATCAAAAACTGAAAGCTTTTACTTTAAAATCAAAACTGAAAGCTTTCACTCTGAAGCCTTCACTCTAAAATCAGAAAAAAGACAAGGATATCCACTATCACCACTCTTATTCAATATAGTTCTGGAAATATTAGCCAGAGAAATTAGACAAGAGAAAACAATTTTTTAAAATAAGGAAGACTAGGAAGGGAAGAAATTCAATTATCATTCTTTGCAGATGACTTGATACTCTACAGAGAAGACCCCAAAAACTCCACCGAAAGACTTATTAATAACCAAATTCAGTGGCATAGCTGAATACAAAGTCAACACTAAAAAATCAATAGCATTTCTGTACACAAATAACAAACTCACTGAGAGAGAAATTAGGGAAATCACACCTTTCACAATAGCATCCAAAAAAATGAAATATTTAGGAATCAATCTAATGAAGGAAGAAGAAGATCTTTTACATTGAAAACTAGAGTACTCAAAAAGGAGATGAAAGAAGATATCAGAAAATAGAAAGATACTGTTCTTGGATAGGAAGAGCTAATATAGTGAAAATGGCCATACTCTCAAATTGTTACACAGATTTAATGCAATCCAGATCAAAATACCAACAGCATACCATACAAAATTAGAGAAAAAATCCAGTAATTCATTTGGAACCAGAAGAGACCTAGAATAGCAAAAGCAATTCTGGGCAACAAAGGCAAGGCAGGCAGCATCACAATCCCTGACCTGAAATTATACTACAAAAATATAGTGATAAAAATACTATGGCACTGGCAAACAAATAGACCCAAGGATCAATGGAACAGACTAGAAGGTTCAGAAGCAACTCCAAACACATTCAGCCACCTTACCTTTGACAAAGGGGCCAAACACATCCATGGGAAGAAAGATAGCCTCTTTAATAAATGGTTTTGGAAAAATTGGCTGTCCACATGCTAAAAACCAAAAGTAGATCCATATCTCTCATCATGCACTAAACTAAAGTAAAGAAGGATCAAATATCTAAATATTAAAACAGAAATACTAAATCTGCTGGAAGATAGACTAGGTAGAACTCTTGAAGGCATAGGTGTAGGCAAACACTTTATGAACAATAGGAAATAAAAGAATCCTCAATCACATAGGAAATAAAAGAATCAACAACTGGGATCTCATCTTACTAAAAAGCTTTTGCACAGCAAAAAGAACCACCAACAAAATGAAGAGACAATTCACAGAGGGGGAAAACATTTATACCAGTTGTTCCTCAGATAAAGGACTAATATCTAGAACATATAAAGAACTCAAAAAAATTAGACCCCGTAAATTTAAAGATCCAATCCAAAAATGGGCATCTGAAATGAACAGACACTTCTCAGATGAGAAAGTAGAAATGGCAAATAAATATATGAAAAAATATTCAGCATCACTAGTCATTTGAGAGATGCACATTAAAGCAACACTGAGATTCTATCTCACTCCAGGAAGAATGGCTATCATCAAGAAATCAACCAATAATAAATCCTGGCAGGGCTGTGGGTGGGACTATAGACTGGTGCAACCACTGTGGAAATCAGTGTGGAGATTCCTCAAAAAACTGAAAGCAGAGGTTCCATTTGTCCCAGTTGTTCTCCTTTTTGGTATTTTCCAAAAAGAATTAAAAGCATCATACCACAGCAATACACGCACACCCATGCTTACAGGAGCACACTTTGCAATAGCTAAATCTTGGCAAAAGACCAAATGCCCATCAACCAATGAATGAATAAAGATGTAGTGTTTTTTTTATACAATTCAGTACTATTCAGCCATAAAGAAGGATAAACTTGAGACATTTCTAGGTAAATAGATGCACCTTGAGACCATACTCTTAAGTGAAATAAATCAGACACACCTGTTGAAATATTGCATCGTTTCTCTGGTGTGAGAAGCCAAAAGTGTAAATAAGGACCAAAATGTGTAACAGATATTGTGAAACAGACAGAAAATGTTCAAATGAGAAGAGGAATAAAGGAGGGAGGAGGGGGAAAGAAAGGAAGGGAACATGAAAAAAGAGAGTAGAAGGAAAATGGAAAAAAAGCTTTTGTAAATAAAGAGGGAAAAAGGTGTTGGAGGGGAGGAAAAGGGGGAAAAAAAGAAGAACCAAGATAATATCATGCACAGGTACAAATTCCATATGACGAAAGTTATCAATATGTGTATCTAAAATATATCAATAAAGTTAATTTTTTAAAAAGATCTGTTAATAAGTTCTACTGGCAAAAATGAAAAAATTTAGTCTCATTAAAGAGGAGAGATAGGGTTGAGGATTTGAAGAAAATAATGAAGGATTAGAAAAGGAATCAAAGGAAACAGGAGAGACATCTGGCCAAATCTTAAAGGGAATCTAGACTGTGGAAAAGGTAGGTGAAGTTAAAAATCATAGCATCACCAAACAAATGGGGAGGTCAAGGAAATAAAATTGTAAATGAAGAAAGCTGCAAGGGTAAGCGATAAACAGAGACTAAGACTTGAAAGTCTTATACTTCAACATGATGACAATATTCAAGTTGTGGACATCAGTGCTGGTTATAGAAATAAAAGTAAAATAATTAGTTTTGAAAAGTATGAAGCTGGGGATTTGGCTCAGTGGTGCCACCACCTGCCTCGCAAGCACAAAGTCCCGAGTTTGATCCCCGATACCATAAAGGAAAAAAAAAAAAGGTAGTACATGAGTCATCCACTTGGACACTAAAGATAGCTAATATGATGAGCAGATTTAGGAGAGAAAGAAAAATATGGCAAATTACTTCATAAATATATAGGAAAAGCCCAAGTTATGAGAGGTCAATGTCAAAAAGTAAAGGGTCAGTAAACCTTAATATTAAGGTACCAAGGACTATGTTCCAGTGAAACCAGTTATTCTAGTGCTTACTAATTTACACATCTTATGTAATCCCATTTTTCAAAAAAAAAATTTGAACTTAAATAAATATATATATGTAATTTTCCCATATATAATATTTTCCCATCCTATCAATACAACAAAAGATAAAATGATACCAAAAAAAAAAGAATAAGTGAATCAAAAGATATTTATGGACTAAACTATTTGTTTTTGCTTTCTCATGGCCTGAAGCATGTACTATTAACTAGTAGTGCAAGCCACTAGAAGTAGAGAAAGATACTCACTGTGAAGAAAGTACATAATCAGGAAATTCATTCAAGAAATTCTCGACTCTCTTTTAACCACTTAATTCTTGTGAATATAAATATCCTTCGGGTACTTCTTTATACAATGTCAGGTAGAAGTTAGAAAGCATTTCCTTTCTCCTGTCAAAGAAACAGCCACATTACAAAGCAGTAAAGAAAATATATAAAATACCATTTTAAAATATCATCCAACCCATCAATAACCTGAAATTCATAAGAACCTTTCTTAAAAAGCTTTCAACTGATAGACTTCACCCTAGAATTCTCACCCTTTTTTTTTTTTTTTTTTTTTTTTTTTTTGGTGCCGGGCATCAAACTTGGGTCCTTGCGCTTGCACAGCAGGCAGGAAAACCACTGAGCTAAATCCCTGGCCCTCACTTTCTTTTAAACATCATACCTCTATGGAATTTACCCTAGAGAGTAAATAGTGCTGATGACCCATTATTCTTTGGCTGTTGTCCAATTCTTCCTACTCTTAATAGAAGTCAAAACATTTTTTAGTTATTATAATAAAGTAAACATAAACATCTTTAAGTAGCCAAATAATTCCAGATTTGATCATCTTTCAGTAAAAATATCAAGGAAAGATTCATCTGATCCTAATATGTAAATAACTGAAATCACATAATGTTACTAATGGAAGAAATCGTAAGAGTCCACATAGTACAAGAGTCTTGTACAGAAACAGTAAGTGAGGCTCAGATACAGAGAAAGTGAATCTTACAATAGGATACAAGATCAATTAGGATTTGATCTAAGTCTTCCAATCTCAGGTACAATTTTCTTACATATAGTCTCTTAATTTGCACAAACTATTAGACATTTTATATGTGGAATATGTAGATAATTCTAGAGAGAAAAAACTTAAATTTGAACCCAACATTCAATATTCAAGAAACAAAATACAATGATTTAAATACCAAATAACTGAAGAAGATGTACAAGGAGGTAATGAAGTCTTGTGAATGTTATACTGGTTTGGCAACTTGCATAAAATGGTTTTTTTCCTAGTCATCTCCTTTGGCAGCCTCAAAGTGGGAAAGGTAACCTAGAGCCCAACACAAATATGTTAGTCCCTGAGATCAGCCTGTTTAATACAGCATTCTTGGACAATAAACCTCTGAAAAAATAATCATACCTCAGCTCCTCACTTAGTTATTCTGATAAAAAGTTGCTTTTTGTAATTAAATTACATTTTATGTACACTTGTTTTTCTTGAATATGCAGCTAATTATCTCCTAATTAATGTTCTTATCAATTTGTAGTAATTTCGTAGGAAACTACTGTAACCTACAGTATTGTGAGAAAATGACTCAACCACCAGACCTGGCTGTGTATACCAGCTTTAATCATATATGCAAAATTATGTGGCGAACTTAATCCTTCTTTTCCTTTTGGTTAAGAGCAGGTGTAAATTTATGTGGAGAAGGGCCAGGGATTTAGCTCAGTAGTTTTGCCGCCTGCTGTGCAAGCACAAGGACCCAAGTTCAATCCCCAGTACCAAAAAAAAAAAAAAAGAAAAGAAATGTATTCCTTTTGGGGCCAGAGATTTAGCTCAGTGGTTCTGGCACCCGAGCGCAAATGCAAGGTCCTGAGTTAGATCCCCGGTACCGAAAAAAAAGAAATTTATGTGGAGGACCAAAATATACAGTTATTTAAATGATACAAGTAATTTTATTTTAAATTATCCTTATGACTGAGTAAAGTATCTACTTAACATTGCATGTACAAACATGATTCAAAAGAGACAAACAGCTAGCTGGATAGAAACGTACCACTTTAAGGAGATCTTTTTCAAATGGGAAGGGGAAACACAAGAGATGGAGGGGGGAGGGAAGTAAGGGGAAAACGATTTTAAAAAGAGAGAAGCAAAGAAAGAAATGGAAATAGAGCTTTTTCAAATGGGAAGGTGATCAAGAGTTGGAGGAAGCAGGGAGGGATAGAAGGGGAAGGAGACAAAAAAGAATCAAAATGTGTTATGTGTATGTATAAAATTCCTATGATAAATGCAGTTATTATGAACTGCAAACATGTAGTAATAAAAATACATAATAAAAAAATAACAAAAAAGATGAGAACTCTAATTATAGATGTCTTCAATTTTACATGGAACCTAGAGCCTTTAGTTTTCAAGACTATGCAGTTTGTGCAGAGAAAATTCTCAATCCATAAAAAATTAATAGAAATTGGTACAGAGACCTCAAGTAAAGCCAAAATCTTCAAAAATCAATGTTCTCAGCAAGAATGGGTAAGCAGGAAAAAAAAAAAACTTACCCCCAGTGAAAGAGTATGTAAAGTCTCTCTCTTTCTCAACTCCAGGCTAGAAAAAAAAAGAGAGAAGAAAAAAAATTATTTCTATTTAGAAGGAACCATATCTTAAGCACATGAGTTCTGAATTCAAATCTACACTAAATAAGTAGGCCAGAAAAAATAGAAACCAAAGAAATTCAGTGAAAGTGGTCCCATTGTGGTGGCCCATGCCTATAATCCCAGCACTGTAGGAGGCTGAGACAGGATGATTGCAAGTTTGAGCCCTGCCTGGGCAACTTACTGACATAGACCCAGTCTGAAAATAAAAAGCAAAAATGGGCTGGGGATGTAGCACAGTGTGAATGCTCTGGGTTCAATTCAGTACCACAATAAAAAGTGGTCTCCAGATTTGTAATACATGAAATACAAGAAAGAAGCAAATACAAATTCTTGTTAAATTCTCCTAAAGGAGGAGAGACTCATCATGAGATTTCCACAGACTGTAGATCAACTATCTATGAAAGAATGACAAAACATATTAAACATTCATGGACATAAGCTCATATGACTGAGAATCATACAAAACAATAAACAAAAGATCCCTCAAAGACTCAATATTAGGGGCTGGGGATTTAGCTCAGTGGTTTCGTCGCACGAGGACCTGAGTTTGATCCCTGGTACCAAAAAAAAAAAAAAAAGACTCAATATATTAGATTTTTCTGATACTAATCTTGAAAGAACTATGAAACACAAACAAAGAACACAACAAAAGGCAGAACTTAAGAACCACCAAATAAAATTTTAGAAGTTAAAAAATAATTACTGAAATTTGAACAGGTTAAATTAAAGATTAAATTCAGCTGCATAGAAAATAAGTAAACTATAAAATAGAAGAAAATTACAAAACATACAGAAAGAGAAATAACTTTAAAATGTAAAGCAATGTTGCTACGGTTTGAATTGGGTGGTGTCTCCCAAAGGCCCATATGATAAAGAACTGGTCCGTAGGGTGGTGCTATTGGAAGGCAGTAGAACAATGGAAAGATAAGGCCTAATGGGAGATCCTGAAGGTCATTGGGGGCATTCCTCTGAAGGAAACTATGGGAACTCATTCTCTTTTTGCCTCACTCTTTGCTTCCTGACTCATGAGGGCAGTGGTTCACTCTACCACTTGCTCCTGCCATAATGTGCTGCCTCATCAGAAGCCCAAAGAATGGAGCCACTTGATGTTGGACTGGAAGCTCCAGAAATGTAAGGCCCAAAAAAGCTTTTCTTTTTATAAATTCATTCCCTCAGGTATTTCATTATAGCGATAGAAAGCTAATGCAAATGTTAAAGAAAATAGAAGAATGATAAGGTCTAATATACATCTGATAAAAGAACCAGAAGGACAGTAAAAAGATGGAGGTAAATATTCCAAAAGGTAATAAATTCAAATTCCCCAGAATTGAAGAAAGGACATTTTTTTCTCAGATTTAGGAAGCATAACAAATATTGAGACAGAAATAAATACAAGTATAAACCTAAGTATATCATAGTGAAGGTGGTAGGTTGAATGGCAGATCCACAAAAAGATATGCACACGTCCTAATCTCTGGAATTTATGAATGTGACCTTATTTGGAGAAAAACTCTGCAGATATAATCAAGCTAAGGACCTCAAGATGAAGTATACATAACAGATATGCTTATAAGAGTAAGGAAGAGGGAGATCTGAGATAAAGACACATGAGAAGGCCATGAGAAAACCCTCATGGAGATGGAGGCAGAGACTGGGGTTATGCTGCCACAAATTAAAAAAGATCTTGTTAAAAGAGCAGAAGTGTTAACAGAGAGCACAACTTTAAAAAAACAAAAAAACTCCTTTTTTAATAGAGGAAGAAAAGTAGAACACACATAATCTTCTGAAAGGTTTCCTTGTTCTATTTTTTGGAAAGAAAAATAAAAAGGAAAATTGGTGCTGTGGCAAGCGGTTGTAGTCCCAGCTACTCCTCAGGAGACTGAGGCAAGAGTAACACTTCAGTCCAGGAGCTCAGGGCCAGACTAGAAAACATAATGAGACTGTATTTAAAAAAAAAAAAAAAGAAAAGAAAAAGAATGCTCAAGAAGAGAGGAAGAGGAAGAAGTAATATTTAAAATAGACACATTTTTGCTGGAGATGTAGCTAAGTGGTACAGTGCTTGGCTAACATATACAGGTCTTTGATTTCCAGCACCATAAAAAATTTTAAAATGAAAATGTAAAAAAAATTAAATAGTAATGTTACAATACTTGAACCAAAATGTAAAATAATGTTTGAGGACTAAGGACAACAACTGAGGTAAAAGGAAAATTTCCAAATCTTTATTTACCTCCGTTCTTTTATTATGCAGATGAACTTGCAAACTTTTCTTTCTCCTGACTTTTTTTTCTCCTGAAAACTCAGAGGATTTTTCTTCTCTACATATGAATACTGAGGCTTCATACCTAAATCACACAGAATTTAGAAAAAATCCTGAATCTTTTTCTTCTTTTCAGCTTTTAATTATGGAAACTTTCAAACATATACAAAAGTAGACAGAATAATATGATGTTCTTTTCATGTACCCATCACTCAGCTTCAACAATGGCAATCCTATTCCATCTACACCCTTATCCCTGATACTGCCTTTATTATTCTGGAATGAGTTCCAGGGTCATATAATTTTATCTGTGAAGATTTTAAATCTTTTTAAGGCTTTTTTCTTTAAAAAATATTTTAAACACCATTATAATACCAAAAAGAGACATTGCTTAATATCATCACATATATAATCAGTGTTGACATTTCCAATTTTCTTTTAAGTGTCATAAAATGTCTCAACACTATTTTTTTTTTATAGAAATAATAAGTGAAGGGCTGGGGATTTAGCTCAATGGTTCCAGCACCTGCCTTGCAAGGGCAAGGTCCCAAGTTCAATCCCCAGTACCAGAAAAAAACAAAAAACAAAAAAAAACAAGAATTGCTTTATGGGCCAGGGATTTAGCTCAGTGGTTTCGCCGCCTGCTGCGCAAGTGCAAGGACCCGAGTTCGATCCCTGGTACAAAAAAAAAAAAAAAGTTCCAAAAAAAAATAGAAATAATAAGTGGTTATATTGATGTATTTTCCTTCTTTCCCAATTCACCGCAATAAACAGTCAAATAAAACAAAAACAAATTAAATAAGATTATAACAATCAGAACTATTTCTCAATTGTGAAATGTCAGAAATAGAAAACAAATAGTATTTTCCAAGAAGTCTACCAATGAGTGTTTCATCTTACTTTTTAGATGGTAAGATAGAATCAAAGAGGCACTCAATGGATGACTGTGAAGAAATATGACAAATTATTTAGCATATACAGTATACCTAAAATTATATATATTGTAACATATACATATTGTAACATATCAGGATTCAATAAAGTTCCCATTTCACAGTTGGTTGATATATCTTTTAAATCTCTTTTCATCCTTAGCTCCTCCTTCCTTTTTTTTGGTACCGGGGATCAAACTCAGGACCTTGCACTTGTGAGGCAGAAGCGATGCCACTGAGCTAAATTTCCAGCCCTCCTTCCATTTATTATTTATTTACTATTTATTATTACTATTAACACCACCACCACCACCACCACCACCACCACTACTACTACTACTATAGTATAGTGTTATTATATATTATAGTATAGTGTTATTACCAGGTCATTTGTCCTATAGATTTTCCAGTCTGAGTTTTGTGAATAGTTTCACTATGATTGTTAAGTTTCTAAAGATTTGATCACATCAGCATTCAGTTTTTCTAAGGGGAGTGCAAAACTACTTTGTTTTTGTGGTAGTGTTTCTCCAGCAAGAAGCATATGATGTCTAGTTGGTTTTCCATATCGTTTTGAAAACAGGATTTAAATATATTTGCTGTAAACTATACAATAATCACATGAATATGATTAATCTGAATCAAATTAGAAAAGAGCAGACCTATACTCTTGAAAATTGCATACTTTACTTCAGATAATCCAGAGCAGACTAAATTTCAAGGTCAACCTTAAAATTATTTTTGGACTTCTGGGACCCTGTAAACTAGGAATGATTATCAATGAATTAGATCCCAAACTTGTCTTTGAGAATTGGAATCACTGGGGAGCTTCAAAAAATATTAATACCTATGTCTTATTCCTAAACATTGTGTTTTAATTGTTTGGAGGTGTGGCCAAATATTTGGAGGGGTTTTTTTAAATACCCAAGTAACTCTAACATGCAGACAAGTTAGGAACCACTATAGTTTATTCCTATCCAGAATGCATGTACATCAACGGGACTGTAGCTCATATTTTAGAGTAATATCTTATTATCCTTTATGGTATGCAAAACTAAAAGTTCTTTAGCAAAAATATCCCCTTTTAAAGCAATCTTCTATGCAAAGACTGCTGAGGTAATACATTGGAGATAATGACTAGATCATATATATAACAGCTTTAAGTCCTGACCCAAATTGTGAAAAAAGGAAAATTTTTATCATATACCCCACTCCCCTTCCTTGGCAGACACCTTGTCTTTTTGATACTGTATCCCTTTCAAATAGAAGCCCCAAAATTCCTACCTTCATCTTACTCTTAGCCCCCCCTAAAGCTGCCCTATGATTAGTCCCCTTTATAGTCCTTCAGGCTCAAAGGCGATCACTTTCAACAATTTTGACTATGACCCACGGGCTAAAATAGATTTTCTTTTGTACAGAGGGGGGAAGGGGAACAGAGAGAGGGACAAAGGAAAGGAGGTAAAGGGCAGATGTGATGTGACAGACAGAAAGAAAAAGAAAATATAACAGAAACTATTTCACAAAACAATACTTATGTGAAAAACACTCTAATGTCTTTAATTTTATTCTAATCTATTTCCTTCAAAAAGAAAAAAACTAAGGGCTGGGGATTTAGCTCAGTGGTTCTGTCGCCTGTCTGGTAAGTGCAAGGTCCCGAGTTAGAGTCCCTGGACCAAAAAAAAAAAAAAAAAAAATTACCAAAACTACATAAACAAAAAGCAAAACCTAGTAATGACCTTCTAACTGACTTTGTCACCCATTAATGGGACACAACTTAGAGTTGACTCTTACTTTATCTCCTCTACCCTCTTCCTGCATATTCCTACTGAAATTGAGACTTTCTATTTCTGGTTAAATCATGGGTTTCACTCTACTACATGGTTTTTGAAATTTCATCTTTTAAAAAAAGAGTGTAAGTGTGCTTTAAAATTTTGAGCTGCTTCAAACATTCGACATAATAGGGATTATTTGATATAAATAATGAATAAGTCAAAATATACTAGTCCTAGGGGTCGGGGATTTAGCTCAGTGGCACTGAGCCTGCCTCACAAGCACAAGGTCCTGAGTTCGATCCCCAGTACCAAAAAATTAAAATACTAGTCCTGTATCCCATTCCTTTGGGCCATGCGTCTCCCAAGGTACTAACCTATTTTGATCCATGCAAATGAAAGGAAAAAGGACACTCCCAAAACCTTCCACTTGTTCCTAGATAACTAATTTTATTGCTGTCTTTTAGAAATAATTGCCTTGCTTTTTGTCATCTAACAAACAGAAGCAGTACTAGAAATTTTAAGTTAAATAAAATGGACACACAAACTCATGATAAGTAGAAGAGATTTCAATTTAAGTGCCTCTTCAGCTATAACACACAGGTAATTTCCAACTTTACCAACTAGTAAGGCTACTATATAGTTGGAAAAAGATAAAGTGAGATAAGCCCTGAATGTTTTCTCAAAGGCTTTTTTTTCCAATAAGCTTTCTTTTCTTCAGTCTTTTATAAATGTTAAAAATAAAAATTGAGTATTTATCCTAGCCATATATGAAATGCTAGAGCTTCTTTTATAACTAACAAAAAGCAACCAAGTGATACACAAGAAAGAGCTACCAAAATATTTAAATAGTTTAATTTCATGGAAACCACAAACCCAGGCCAAGTTGGAGAACACTTTTTGTTTCCTTCCTAAATTCTTTTTAAGACAAACTTACATATACATGGTTAATCACTTTCCTCTACTTGGAATCCTGTGACAGTTTATAGGGTTCCATGTGGCAGTGACAGAGTAAGAAAAAGTGAAAGAATGGCTACTGAAGAGTTAAACTATGTTCCTAAAAGAATGGCCACGTAGATGTATGGTCCTATACACACTGTATATTATGAGAACACATAATTTATATTTTAGGCACTCTTAAACTCGCAAAAGCGTAACTCAATAAAATAAGTTCAGAATTTTTAATGCGAGAGCTCAGGGGCTAAAAGAAACCGAGGGAGGGAAACTGCAAGCTGCTGGCGGCGGGACAAGCAGGACCAGGGCTCACAGAGACCTTACAGGTGAGTACTTGCAAATGACCAAGTGTCAGAGTACTGCTGCAGCCCCTCCCCCCAAAGAGCCTACAAGGCAGGTTCACAGCGGGGAGCATCTGGAGGCGTCCCAGCCCCACGCAAGAGCCTGCAAAGCGGAGGGCGTCCCACCGCCCCAGTAATCCCAACGATGATAAAAAGCAGCCATTAGGTAAAGACAAGTGCTAAATGACTCATTAGGTTCTGCATGGTAGAGGTCACCTACAACATTAAGAGGAGCCACTTGGGTGGTAGGTTCAGCAAGATGTCCTTAGAATGAAAACAGGAAAAGAAACTGAAGAAAGCTAGAGGAATATTCTTTGAAGGAGTCTTGTGTAAAGGGAAAGAGAAATAAGGTAGCAGCTAAAGGAAAAAATGAAGTCATGGGGGTTTAGGGCAAAAATAGAGTTATCTTCACTGAAGAGTGTCTATGTAGGCTATATCTTCCTATAGTAGTTTCCTCTGTTTCAGTTCATACCCTACCTCCTCCACAGGCCATCCCCCCTTTTCCCTTGTAAATGCCCGTTAATAACTGCAGAACACAACTCCACTGCATCTACTGCCATTAATGAACATTCAAACATTAATCTCCCCCACTTATCCTATCTAACAAATACTGCGTGAAACTCCACCGCAAGAACTTATGCTATGAAGATTCCCAGCCATGCATTCATGAGGCAAAAGACTCTGGGAAGAAAGTAGACATGTAAACAAGTAAATCATTCTTAAAATGAAAATAAGCTACTAGAGACCTATGCTGAAGGAACAGAGAAGTCTCCAATCACTAAGTCAGTCACCCTTCTAGAACCACCACCATTTCTGCGGGGCTCACCATCAGTCATCCTACTCTGGCCCCTCACTGTTCCCCTCCAGAACCTTCCTTCAGCGAGTTCCATTAATTCTCTACTTCGTTCTACAACCACTTCGCATTCTCCACGCTCAACCTTCCAGGCTCTTTCACCCCCTCAGCAAGTCTTGCCTTTCCCTCTGCTGCCCCTCAGAGTCCCACCAACCAACCTCCTGGGCCCCTCAGGATGCCCCTCACAGGACTAGGACTTGCACTCCCCTAGCCGGCTGGTCCTTTCCCTGACAACTTAGGCCTCTACCAAGGTAAAGACTTGGCCCAGCCGCCTTCCCGTGCTCCTGCTCGGCGCGGCCCCCACTCCGAGGTCACCTGACTGAACCCAACGCTCCGCCCACCAAGGAGCCCATTGGGTGTGTGTGAGGAACCCTGCCACTGCCCAGGATACTGGACCGTGGCTGATTTCCCAGCCAACTAGGCGCCCACTGGAAAGCGCTGCAGCCGCGCTGACTGCCATACCTCAAAAGGACCTGTGACCTCACCCTGCCAGCCGGCCGGAGCAATGCGGGCCCTGTACAAGAGTGGGCGGGTGCCTTCGAGTGCTGTCCTCCCCCAAGCTGCCTCCTGGATTTCTCCCTCTGTCCTACCAGCTCTTTCCTGCAGCTCTGTTTTGTTCTTTCTTCGAAGCTCTGTTCCGCCGTAGCCAGACCCCACTTCAGTGTTGTCTTGTATCCATCCTTTGAATATCTGCGCCCTCCTGTTTCTAAGGCATTTCAAGCTTCCTGTTTTCTGCTCCTCAATAATGGACAAGAACTCAGCTGCCTTTCGTCACAATTCTTTGCTGAAAATTCTTTGCGTCCTGCAGATGAAATAATGTTGGCAAAAGAAAAGACAGGAAGTGATATTTCCTAGCTTTTCTCAAGTATTATGTCCCTAAAAGTTGCATAAGTCCAGTACACTAAACTTGTAAATGACCTGTCAAGTGAAAAACATTTTGAAAATATTATCCAAAAAAACCCCACAACTGGGCAGGGGATTTAGCTCAGTGGTTCCGCCGCCTGCCTTGCAAGCTCAAGGTCCTGAGTTCGATCCCCAGTACCAAAAAAAAAAACACAAAAAAGTCTCACAACTTAAAATATCTTTTAAAATAAGCATATCAGTAAATTTGTTCATGTGGATTAATGAAACCTGAATTCTACATAAATTACATTGGGAGCAATGGCGTAGGCTTCAAAGATGAATCAATCCAATTCGTATTCTATCTTTATTACACTAAGTTACTTATGCTTTCTGAGTCAGTTTTCTCATTTTTCCAGGGTTGTAAGAATTCAGTGTATATGTGGTGCTTAGTAAATGTTGCAATGTTTATTTTTCTTCAATGATACTACCAGCTCATCTATATCATTTATATCTTGTAAACTTTTAGGGTTTTAAAAATTATTTTTAAATGAACAACTCACAATTGTATATATTTATGAGGTAAAATGTGTTGCTTTAATATGTGTACACACTATGGAATGATTAAATGAAACTTATTGACATATCCATGGTCTCACTTATCACAAATCTTCAGCAGTTGCAGTTTTTCCTACAAAATCTATTCATGAGTTAGTTTGTTATTAGTTTCACAGACCTCCCTCCAAAAGTACTAAAGGTATATTAGGTAGGATTAGGTTATTTAGTAGTGTTAAATCTCCACTAATGATATAAGCAAGACAGAATTTTCTCACTCACATTTAAGAGCTTGAAGGAAATCATTCTGGGGCTGATTATGTGCCAAAGTTTCAGGGACATAGGCTTCTATTTCATCCCAGAAGTATTTCATCCCAGTAATGTGTAAGTGTGGTATATCAGAGTTCTCAAAAACCCTCTAAAGATTTTCAGAGTGTGCCTCATAGATCCTCTCTTCCAAGCAATAGTACTTCTAAGAAGCTTAAAGACTTTGTCTTTTAGCAGAGGCCCTGCATAAAAAAAGACATATCTCAAACAGATTTGTGGGTACAGCTTTTGTCTCATTTACTGAAACCCAACAGGATTCAAAAAAGACTCACAAATTTTTAAAGAGAACTGTATTGCTAAAAACACTGCCAGCTTGGACTGAAATCAAGAAAGTGCAAAAAGAAAGAGGGCTTTGGACCACCACATTTCTACCAGCAGGAAGCCGGCTCAGAAAATTATTTAGGTGCAGATATGTGGTACCTTACATGAAAGGAAGATGACTTAGAGGATGAAACCAAGAGACCAGAAGATGAAACCACCATGGATAATTATTCTGAAGCTCAGAATATGGAGTTGAAAACCTTTATATAAGTGATTCCTCAAAAAACTAAAACTACAGGTTCCATTTCACCCAGATATTCTTCTGCGTATCTTCCCAAAAGAGTTAAAAGCATTATACTACAGTGATATACGCACACTCAAGTTTATAGCAACACAATTTGTAATAGCTAAATCTTGGAACAACCCATATGCCCATCAACAGATGAATGGATAAAGAAAATGTGGTTTGCATATACAATGGAGTACTACTCTGCCATAAAGAAGGATAAACATGAGACATTTTTAGCCAAATGGATGCATCTTGAGAACATAATTAAATTAAGTGAAATAAATTAGTCATATGTGTTTAAATATCACATTGTTTCTCTTGTATGAGACTCCCAAAGGATAAATAAGGACCGAAATGGAGGCTAGATATTGGGAAGTAAGAAGAAAATGTTCAAATGGGAAGGTAAAGAAGGGAGGGAGTAAGGGAAGGAAGGCAACAGGAATTAAAAAATAAAAAAGAATGGAAGAAAAAAAATAGAAACAAAGTTTTGTAAATGGAGAGGGGAAGAAGGGTTGAAAGGAAGACGGGAATGGAAAAAAAAGAATTAAGATATATTATGTAAAGGTACAATTCCCTCTGATGAATGTGATCATTATGTATGTCAAAAGTACATTAATAACATTAATTTTTTAAAAATCTGTATCTAAGTTGTTTTCAGAACTGCTATGATCACTGACTTGTAGAAGAACTATAAATAATTTGCAGGTAGAAGATGGACAGTGGTGGTTTTTAAATATATACACAAATACTTGTTACTGTTCCCTGGGGGAAAGATAGCCTCTTTAAAAACAATGCTGCCAGGGGCCGGGGATTTAGCTCAGTGGTTCCGGCGCCTGCCTTGCAAGCGCAAGGTCCCAAGTTCGATCCCCAGTACCAAAAAAAACAAAAAAAACAATGCTGGGAAAAAAAGAAAAAAAAAAAACAATGCTGGGAAAACTGCCTATCCACATGCCAAAGATTGAACCTAGACCCATATCTCTCACTATGAACTAAACTAAAATAGAAATGGTCAAAGATCTAAATATTAAACAGAAACAGTCTGTTGGAAGACAAAATAGATAAAACTCTTGAAGACATGGGCATAGGCAAAGATTCTCAGGACAGAAACCTGGTTACACAAGAAATAAGATCAAGAATCAACAAATGGGATCAAATCAATTTTTTTTTTTTTTGAGGCAGGTTCTCACTATGTAGTTCAGGCTGGCCTTGAATTCACTATGTAGTCCAGGCTGACTTTGAACTCACCAATCTTCTTGCCTCAGCCACTCAGTGCTGGGATTACGCATGTGTCACCATGCCCGGCCACATCAATTTAAAAAGCTTCTGCAAAGCAAAGGAAAACCACCAACAGAAGAAAGAGAAAACTTAGAGAATGGAAGAAAAAATTTACCAGCCACTCCACGGCAAAGGACAAATACCTAGAATAGATAAAGAACTCAAAGAAATTGTATGTCACAAATTTAAAGACCCAATCAAAAACATGGGCAACTAAAATGAATAGACCCTTCTCAGATGAAGAAGTACAAATGGCCATGAAAAAATGTTCAACATCATTGGCCATTTGATAAATGCAAATTAAATCAAAACTGAGATTCTATCTCCAGAAAGAATGGCTATCATCAAGAAACCAAACAATAACAAATTCTGGAGAGGCTGTGGGGAATGAGGAATGGGGAAATAATCCTTCTTAATTGTTGGTATAAACTAGTACAACCACTATGGAAATCAGTATGGAAATTCCTCAAAAAAGCTAAAAATAGAAATTCCATTTGGCCCAGCTCTTCCCCTTCTATGTATCTTCCCAAAAGAGTTAATGACATCATAGTACTATTTTTTTTGCCTGTTAGTCTGGCTGTTAAACAGTATTTATGATAATTAACATGATAAAGATTTATGAAATGAATCAGATGCTGGCAAAAAATACTTGCTCCTATAAAAAATAACCACAAACTCGGTGGTTTAAACAGCACAAATTTATTAGCTTACATTTCTGGACATCCAAAGTCCAAAATAGGCCTTATGGAGCTAAAAATCAAGGCTGAAACCCTTCTGGAGGCTGTAGAAAGGAATTAATTCCTTGTTTCTTCCAACTTTACAAGCTATATGCATTCCTTGATTTATGATTTTATCACCCTGATCTGCTTTTGTTGTCACATTTCCTACTGTGACTCTCACTGTTAACTCTGACCTATGAGGATATTTGTGATTAGTTTGAGCCTTCTCTGACAATCCAGGATAATTTATCTCAAGATTATTAAGGACATCAGTTATTCCAGGTGTGGTAACATTCAGATTCCTGGAATTAGGAGGTGGGTATCTTTGGAGGACAATGATTTTGTCCACAACGCTCCTCCCTTCTAGATGTGGCATCTATTCCCATCCCTTGACATGTTGGTTAGATTCAGTGAGCTACTTATAATGAATAGAGTACAAGAGTAATAGTGTGATACTTACAAAGCTAAGCCATGAAAAACGTTGTAGCTTCCTCCTTGATCTCCATTAGACACTCATTCTAAAAGAAACCAGCCAACATGTAATGCAAACACTCAAGCAGTCTTATGAAGATATTAAAGTGGTGAGGAACTAAAGCCTATTCCCAATGGCCAGCAAAGAATTGATGTCACCTGCCAAAAGTCATGTAACATTTTGGAGAAAGATCCTCCAGCCCTTCTGTGCCTTCAGTTTACTTCCATCCTACTCAATAATTTGACCTCACCCACAATAGACTCTGAGCCACAACCAACCAAATAAGCCATTTCTGAATTCCTGACCACAGAAACTGCACAATAATGTTCACTGTTTTAAGCTGCTAAATTATGGGGTGATGTTATGCAGCTATAGATAACTAATCCAATCCCCACATCACGCCTTGATCCATGATATCTGCTTAACTTCTATTATGTCTACATTCTAGCTTGCAGAAGGAAGGAAAAAGACAACAAAGTCACAGTGATAAGAGCAATACTATACTGTTAGACAAGTCCTTGCCTTGCCTCCATGTTGTTGTTTTTTTCCACCGTTAAGTTTTGTTCCAGAAATGTAACAGTTTGTGATCCTGCCCAGTGTATCAAAATGTTTTTTAACTGTTTGAACTTCCTGCCCTCTCAGGAATGTTGTTATCTCTGCCCCTAGGGAATGTTGTTAAACTCTGCCCCTTTACAAGAATGTTCTGTAACTCTGCCCCTCTGCTTCAGTGAGCATGCCTACCCTGTAGATCCCTATATAAGGAGGCTCTCATTTCTGGTAGGGTTTCAGGCTTCAAGTATGAACTCCTCTGAGCCTGCCAGCATAATAAAAGGTTTTTTCCCCTTCTTCAAGTGACCATTGGATTCTCAAGTCTTCAAATTTCCATAGCCTTGACCCAGAGCTGTAATACTGAACTGTAACACCTGGCTATAGGACTGAGCTGTTCCGCTTTGCCACAACAGTTCTTCCCTTAAAAGGCATTACTGAAAATTGCATGCACCTCTTTCATTTACATCTCATTGCCTGAGATGGGGATGGCACATCTATCTGCAAGAGACTAAGTGAGAAGGATAAAATAGATACATGGGTACAATTATAAATGAACCCATCACGATGAAGATTATATCTATGTAATCTGTCACAATAGTGACTGCATCAGGAAAAGCAGAGCCCAGGCTACACCCATAAACATTTTTCCTTTTTCTTAACCAGCTATTTCCATTGGCCATCAAAGTGATGGTTGTACACCCATCACTCTGACCTGTCCAAGGAATCATGCCAATTACATATGGGTCACTGGAAAATCCTACTATTAGGCAAAACACAATTAATTGTGAAACATTTTGCTTACAAAATTCTTTTCAGAGACAATGCTAAAGAATTATTAGTGGACTTTTTACCTAAAGACTCTTTTAAGTTTTCTAAATGCTCCTTTCTATGTGCATTCTTTAGTATTTTGCCAGAAAATATATAGCTGGTAAAAAGTTTTTCCTCTAGGCAAAGGTTTGGAAGGATGTCACCATAACATTAATAGCTGCAAGGAAGTTAGTTGTGTTCCTGACCTCTTAATTTTCCTTTCACATACAAACCATTCTTAGCCACATAGTGGAGTTTTACATTTTTATTTAATAATATACTTAATTCTAATCATAAGCTTCTAAAACTTCCTACTTGCATGCTGAAGTCAAACTAAACAGATCAGAATATATATTTCCAAAATTTTACTGGTACAAAATTACATAGAAATTATTTTAAAATGGTTTAGTTTACAAAGAATCTGTTATTCCATTGTATTAATGTGAAAATTGCAGTGTAATTCCTAATCTGCTTGTAATTGGCCTTTATGGACATTAGATGGCTCTGTTACTGTAGAGTTCAGACTATTGAGGCCAACAGTTAAAGGATTACAAATGTGGTTTGGTATGAGTCAAGAAAAGCAAAGTTCAGCATACACTCACTGACATTTTTCCTTTTTCTTAGAAGGCTCTCTGTTTTTACCTAAAGTCCTCCATTTTCATCCACAGACATTTAGTTATCAGTTACCAAGATGTAAATTTAAAAAACAGTGAATTCCACAAGATTTGACCATAAAAGGACTCGGTCTATGTCCACATAATTTTTTTATGTCACTGTCCATATTGGGATCAAAAATGTATATTATGTAATGAATTGAAGACTGGAGGTGAAGATAATATTATGAAGGTTCTGTAAAGCACTTCACTTCCACCCTGTCAATGCTCAGTAAATTTAAGGTCAGGTGTGGTGGTCCCTGCTTATAATCCCAACACACTGGGAAACTGAAGCAGGAGGATCACAAGTTCAATCATGGTCTGGGCATCTTAGCTACTTAGAGACCCTGTTTCAAAGAACAAAAATGGCTGGGGGCTGTACATGAAGGAAAAGGCCCTGGGCACAATCCTCACAAGTGAAAAAAATTAAATAGCCAAAAATGAAGTTATAAATTCTTACATCATATTTTCTCATCATATAGGATAGTAATGTTAATAATTAAGATTTTCTCAACTCTTCTGAATAAATTCTCTAGGTCTATTTTTTTTTCCTGCAGCTTGATATACATAGTTTTCTCAGCTGCCTGCCACATATCCTGTTAGGTGGTTATATGTTGTTGCTATTGTTGTTGTTGTTTTTCCAAAGAACTCCAATCTATTACTTTAGTTTTTCATAGGAATTTGTGACTTTGGTGACCTCAAGAAGCCCAAGAATCACTTAACTTGGAAATGATCAAAAATATTTTTAGATTCTGTGTGGGTAGATATTTGGTTTTTGGAATCTATTATCCAAAGTATGTTCTTTAGCAGTAGAATAACTCAGTTGACTTACTAACTATAAACTTTTTTCTAGGTCAGAAATATAAATATGTCATAAATCAGTTGTTCTCAAACATAAGCAGGCAGCAGAATCACCAATAGGGTTTATTAAAACAGACTGCTAGGCCTCAAACCCAGATTTTATAATTCAGTAGTCATTGTCATATGCTGTATAAAAACATTTTGGACTTGAGTCATTTGTAAGAAAATGGATGCACCTTGAAGACCATAATGTTAACTTAAATAAATTGGACACATAAGCTTAAATACCATATGGTTTCGCTTATATGAGAAACCTAAAACGTAAATAAAAAGCAAAATAAAAGATAATAGTAAAAAGGGAGATGGATCATTTTCCAGTGGGAAGGGAAGGGAGAGAAGATGAAAAAGGAATTGAGATGTGTTATAAACATGTACCAACTCTCTGTGAGGAATGTAATCATTATGTACTGCAAGCATGTAGTAATAAAAATTAAAAATTTAAGAAATAAATAAATAAAAATGTTTTGGTAATCACAGACCATATACCTAACAGTGGTCCCATAAGATTATAATAGGCCTGAAAAACTCCTATCACTCACTGACATCATAACAATCATACTGTCATGCAAGGGCCAGGGATATAGCTCAGTGGCACCATGCCTGCCTGGCAAGAGCAAGGTCCTGAGTTCAATTCCCAGTACCAAAAAAAGAAAAAGAAAGAAACCATAACGTCAAGCAATGAATTACTCACATGTAAACAAGCCTGTTGTGCTACTAATCGAAGTAAAATAACACATTCAGTTATGCAAAATATATGTGTCAATGATAATGAAAAACTGGTTTATGTACTTACTATATCATATGTTTTATTGTTAGAATATCGTCCTTCTACTTATTAAAAAAAAACTTTACTGTAAAACAGCAGCAGCCTCATACACCTCATGTTAACTGCATCTCTTGATCCCATCAAGAGGCCCCACGGAGGAATTGACCTGTACCATCTAGGTTTGTGTGTATACACTCTGATGTTTGCATAACAAAATTGCCTTGCTTGATTCTGAGAATTTAAGACTGTAGTTCTGGAATAGAGCCTGTCAGTTTTCATTTCTAATAAATTTCCAGGTGATATTAATATTGCTGGTCCCGGGACCACACTTTTGATACCCACTACCTGAAGTAAATGCTGTGGCATGTAAATGGTCCTGTAAATAATTTGTCATTAAGCCTTTATGCATTTGTGCTTCCCAAGAATAGGCTACACTGACAATCTGTTCTATTGAGATTGTACAAATTCCTAAATAATTCCCAATTTTAAAAATCAGATTCTTAGAACAGTCATATAAACTACTCATGTTGAAAATCTTACAAAGTCTAAAAAGCTCTGGATTCTAAAACCAGCTTCAGTTCCGACAGTAGTCATCATTCTGTTACATTTGGAAACCTGCTTGTCCTAAAATAATCATTTGTAAGGCAATGACACTTGTTCTTTTCACCCAAAGGAAACAGAAATAACAACACAGGAAGCACTGGACAGCCTTAGGCCAATTCTTTTTGGAAAGCATATTTAATTCACTGTTGCACAACTCAGAGGAGGTGGTGAAGAAGTCAGGAAGGCACTTATATAATGTTAACCAGGAATACTTAACAAAAAGAAGTATCTTGACATCATAAATAGTCTAGGAATATTTGAGAGGTAAAGAACTGATTCCTACTACAGCAACTTGTCAATAATGTTCAGTTTCCCATTATTGTTCACAGACCCTGAGACTGGACAAAAGGCAAAAGGGCAGGGCACAATCCTTTCCTCTGTGTTGTCAGATGCCAGAATACTATTCAGATATTCATCCTACACGATGCCAAAAATGACTGCTATTCACTGTCTGGTGAACACAGGTAACAGCTATCCCCACATACTAACAAATAGTGCTGGTCTTCAAGGCCCATCTCATCCCAGATGCTCAGACAAGATTTCTGCTGATTTTTTTTCATCTTTGGAATAAGTTTTGTTTCTCCTTTGATACAGTTTCTTCACATAAACCATCTTTTTTTTTTTTTTTTGGTACCAGGGATCAAACTCAGGAGCTTGCACTTGTGAGGCAGATGCAGTGACACTGAGCTAAATCACTGGCCCCATAAATCATCTTATCTAAAGAAAATGCCCAACTACTACTACTATCATGGACTCTGTATCAGTACCCAAAGGTTATAGTCTGATTTCTAAATTTCCTGGGTTTTTGATCATCCTTTCCCCTCCCCTATTTATCCCTCTATCTTATTCCTAACTCCTACAGTAAGGGTAACCCATGGGAAAGACAGGGTTTAGTCATTTGTGTCAGTTATTATTGATTTTTCATAAAATGGGGATGCAAATATCTGCAAAGTGAACTAAAAAATGTAAATAAGGGCAACATCAGGAGATATAGCTGCTAACAAATGTTGGAGAAGGGGTTCTGAAAGAGAATAGGATGTGAACTACTTTGAGAAAGATAATAGGGAATGACATCTGCTGTTGCCAAAGCCAAGTCTCTCAGACCTCGCAACTAAAAACAAACACTAGTAACATCCCACAGAATCTTCTTTTCTTGTCAGAGCTGGGAGTCAATACTAGGACCTCATGCTTGGATGCACTCTACCGCTGAACTACACCCCAGCTCCACCCATCGCTGGATTTTGACTGCATGATGCTACAGTGAATGCCAGCATCTTAGAATGTTGATACTGAAAGAGCTGTCCAAGATTCAAAACTGGATGGTCCAAATCCATCATTTTTCAAACTAGAAAATTGAGACCTGAAGAAAAGTGAGTAACTTTTTCTAATTAACAGTAAAGATTCCTTAAGCTGCAACACTGAGGCCAAAACTCAGATTTTCCAATCAGCAGACCACCGTTTATAGGTCTTTCCCTTTTCCTTGGTGGTGAGGCTTGGTTTTTAATGTTAGCTAAAGTCAGTACCAATGGAGCAACTGCTTTTGCTGGGACAAAAAAATAGTCTGTCCTCCTCAAGAAAGTCCAGAATGTCCATATGTGCATTCCCACAGACTTCCAGGACAAAAAAGCCCCTTACAGACCCAGCAACTGGGCAGCAACTTGCTACTAATAATGCCCAGTGGGAGTGTCTGCATCCCATCCAAGTCTGTGGTTTTTCAGGCTCTCTTTCACTGTCATCAAATAAAATTACAAATCTAATACAAGTATGTTTATATACATATTCCTTTAAAGATCAAACAAACCTCATCATGGTTTCAGGTACCCCAGTGAGAAAAATAAAGTAAAATTGCACTTTTGACCTCTCGGATTAAAGACTCCTTAAAATGAGGTTGTCCAGTCCATAGAAGAACAAACCACACATGCTGATACAATTGGCCCAGTTCCATCCTGGCCTTTATGCTCAGCAAACTCACAAGGATGACTTCTTCACAAAACACCCAAGAGGTAGGTAAATGCAACCACTCTCGTGGAAGGATATGGCACACGGGGGCCCAGGGTTGGGTGGTAGAGGTGCCTGGGACAAGGGGTAGATGATCTATAGGGGAGAGTCAGGCCTTTGGCTCTGACCATAGCACTCTCCCTTGGAGGAATAGCATTTGGCCATGATAGGAATCCCCATACATAGCAAATGTCTGCAACAGTGAGGGTGTGGAAGTAGGAGGTAAAAAGATGGTACTAGTCTAAGGTTGACACATCTAAGGAAACCTCCAGGGGAGAGCTGCCAAATGAGGCAAATCTGAGAGTAGTGAGTATGAACTAGAGGATGCTAACACATCCCCCAGGCCATGTGTGACCCCTGAGTGTCCCTGCCACACTCACTCTCAACAGGTCAAGGAATTAGGTGTTAAGGACTCATTTTATGAGAGAACCACAGCTGGACTGAAGCAATGGCAAAAGGCATAGGCAGCTCTGAGGGTTCAACTCTTCCCTGACTCACCCTTCTGCCTGAGGGAAGGGAAAGGAAACAGAGGCAACTGGGCTGCACACTCCAGCAGTTCCTACCATAGTTGCTAAGAGATGGACCCAAAAACCATAAACTTACAAACACAGGATGGAGCCCAGGCTTAGTGCCCTTTCCTCTGGAATTAAAGACCTCAGCCCTGTCCCTTTTCTTCAGGGACAATGGCTTGACAGGGAAAGCTGGTCTCTCACTGAGGTAATGAAGAATACCTGTTCAGCTCCATAGGTCGCCTTCAAGCTGAGCAGGAAAAATCCCTGCAGAAGGCATTCTGAGGACAAAGGCATTCTGAAGACAAAAGCAGGCTGATCTCTGCTTGTGGGGACATATCACAAGTTTTAAATTACATATTTCATCACATGCAACATACACACACATATACACACACAAGCACCGAACCCCACACTTCCTCATACTGACATTCTCCCAGCCCACTCAACTCCAGGTCCCAAATACTGTCCTCTGTAAACACAACAGCAGAGACTCCCACCATCCTGGCAGTCTGCTAATGATCTGAGGATGACTTCTTATCGTTAAGTGCCCCGGTAGGTGATATTGGTGAAGGTGGATGTGGCCTCTTTATAGAGTGGGTTGTTAGCCTGTGGAGAGAACAAAAGAATGTCTTATATATAGTGAACTCCTCAGTCCTTCCTTGCCCTGAATTATTTGCTGAAATAATTTTTAATTTGTTTTCATCTCATCTGAAGGGCTAAATTTCATCTGAAAGGTTTGCCCAAGATACTCTTCTCTGGGATATACTATGTATGAAACAAATACATTCTACTCACTCTTTTGCTCTTAGGGTGGTAGGAAATAAGAGGAAAGATAAAGTGGCTATCTTGCTACTATTTCTAACAGGTTAAAATCAGCCCATCCTTTTATTATTTTTTCAGCCCTCTTTGGAGATTCAAAACATTCTAGATTCTAGGATAATTCTTTAACAGCCTCTCCTATTTCCTCCTCTCATTCCTACTTTTTCTGTTGCCTTTCTCCCATTTTCCTTCATTGTGGCAATGCTGTGGAAAGTAGGCCTGAAAGAGAAATGTAGCAGGTACAGAGGATAGCATTTGCTGAAATAATTCTTAATTTGTTTTAATCTCCTCTCTTCAATCACTGCCTATACAACTCTTGCATTATTAAGAAAAAGAACAACAAAAAATGACAAATTCTGTAAGGTCAAGTAGACTTTAATGACAGCTTCAAGAGATCCAGCACATTCTTAATGTGCCTCAGAGGTTCAGGACATTATACATGGTCTTAACAGAAACATCCCAGTTTCTTGGGGCCCTTGGGTACAAAGCCTAGAGCTCACCAGAACAAACTTTCAGCCTAATCCTGAACTTTCAGGGAATCCAATGGCCCTTTGGAAAGTCCAAAAAAAAGTTAAAATGTAGAAGATGAGCCAAAGAGAATAAAATTAAATATATAAAAGTTTCTCAATAAGTGCTTCTTTAATTGAGTTAAAACAGGATAAACTGCAAGAAACATAAAAGAAAAGCCTGATTTGAAGCCACTATGTCATCATTTGAAGAGAAAGAAGAGAACAAAGTAGAATAACATCCTGTCACTATTTCTAAGAGGCTGACCTCAAATCCCCAGTACCACAAAAAAAGTATTTCTTATATTACCTAAGTCCCTCCCACAATCAAGCAAGCTACTTAATTTCTCTGCATTCCTTATCTATAAAATATGAGCAATGATACTGCCCACCACATAGGGTTGTTATAGTAATGAAATAAACGTACATGTAAAAAACATTTAGAAAGAGTTCTCTGCACATGGTAAGTCCTCAGTAAATGTTAGCTACTATTTTTTTCTATTTGCATTTAATGCTTTGGACTTCATTAATGTATGTTCATTACTATATATGTTCTCAATGTAGGTTTGCCCTGGCTCCCTCAAATGGTGAATAAGTTTCTTTTTTCATTTCTTCACAGTGTTAGAGCAGAGCTAGGTTCTATTTCTGTTTAGTCAGTACTCATGATATATCCCTTGATCACTGTGTCACTGTTTGGTAGAGGATCAAGTGATTTTCAGGAAGCTTAAAGACAATGGAACAGTCAGACCATCTCCAAATTTCTAGAACAGAGGATAATTGGGAAACTACAATGCCAGTTGCACCTGGCCACTCTAAGCATCTGCTGCTTCCACTTTAGATTCTTGAATCAAAGAGTTAAGAAAGCACCCAGATCAGCCCAGCCTCTTCTTACTGTGTCCCATTTTGCTCTGGCTCGTTCTTCCTCAAACTTAGCAAACTCTTTCCGGTCGTGGATGGTGATGAGGAGCTTCCAGATGAGCAGAGTAGCAAGGCCAATGAGAAGAATGGCTCCCATCACTGACAGCAGGACCACCAGGATGTCAGGGCCCTTGGGACACTCTGTCAGGAAGAAGAGAGCAGGAATCATTTGAACTGGCTAGGTACAGTGTCTTCTTGACAAAGGAATAAAGAATGTGACAGGCTCCTCAGGAGGCTGCAGAAGAAGGATCACAAGTTTGAGACCAGCCTGAGGAACTCAGTGAGACCCTATCTCAAAATAAAAAATAAACAAGGCTGGGGATGTAGCTCAGTGATAAAGCACTTGCATAGTGTGTATGAGCTCATGGGTTAAATCTCCAGCACTGCCAGATGAGAGACAGAGACAGAGACAGACAGATGAACTAAGGAACCAAATAGGGAGCAGTAGCAGCAATCTAAAGTGACTGCTGCCTTGGTTTGAACCTTAGCTTAACACCAACTTTGCTATGTGAACTTTGCTAAACTAACCTTTCTCGGTGTCTTGTTTCTCCATTTTTAAAATGGAGAAAATATCCACACTTATTTTAATATTTGTCATGAGGAATAATTAAATTTATTTACTCCAAACAGCGCCAGGCAGAAAATAAGTGTTCAATAAAATATCAGCTACTGTTGTTACTGGTATTCTCATACCCAGTCTTTCATTAATTTATTTGCCTGCTTCACCCCTGCAGGCATTTGTTTCTATTGCCGTGATTCCAACATTTATATTACTGAAGACTGTGAACCCAATGACTTTTTTTAGCATGCTTAGAGACCAGGAGGCCTGCCAGCTACAACAATATTTGGAGTTCTTTCCCAAAATATTTAGTCATCTAAAGTGCTAGCTAATACTGTTTAACCCCAGTCAAGAACCAAAGCAACAGAGTCAGTCACCCTTCCAAGGGTCAGGTGATTATCTAGAGCCCTGCAGAGCTCTGCTTCCCATAAACCTCAGGTGTCTGACAAGTGATCTCACTCTGGTAACAACCTCAAGTGTTATGAAACTAGGTGTTTGTATATATGGGTATTGATGAGTCTGGAGAGGAAGGCACACCTACTCTCCACAACATCTCCCACCTTCTTGCACTACAAAAAAAACCACCACAAACCAAACTAGTTATTTTCCCAACCCATCAAACTGCAACCTGTCTATAAATAAAGGAGAGCCTAGAGAGAAGCTGTAAGGTTCCAGTATCTGAATTCCCATGAATGAAAGGCCCCAGTTCTTCTGGGAAAAGTAATTATGAATTCTCCGGAAGATTTGGATAGAATTGGTCCTCAAATCTCAAAGTGAATTTCTTCAACTCTGCATGTTAGTATGGACAGGACAGGCAGAGTCACAAGAGGTCTTCAGGGGAAAACAACCTGTCACCCATCTGTATCAAGAAGGGTAGGATGTAGACTTCCTCTCTGGACCAGGCCAGCCACAGTGGTGGACCTACCATGAGTGACCCAAAATCAGGAAAGCCCCAGTAGGGTTGGCAGATTTAGCAACAAAATTACTCATATAGGATGCCCAGATAAATTTGATTTTCAGATAAAAAAACAAGTTATTTTTGTTGTAACTATGTACCAAATATTGTATGAAACATACTATATTTTATCTGGCAACTCTATCTGGGAATAAAGAGGGCTCAGGGGCCAGGGATTTAGCTCAGTGGTTTCGTCACCTGCCATGCAAGCACAAGGGCCTGAGTTCGATCCCCGGTACCAAAAAAATAAAAAAATAAAATGGGCTCATCTGGAACTCATTCCATGTGGCTTATCCCCATTTGACCAATCTTAAACATTTGGCAATACTCCCTTTTCTGCCCTACAGTGGCTCAGACCTCGAAAGAGAGCACCTCAGGACCGTGAGTTGGAGAAGAGAAAGAGAATCCTTTGCTCCAGGATCCCAACTTCTGCACTCTCCTTAAAGCCAGAACCTGTGGAAATTCTTGGGAAATAGAAAGAGAGAAGAGGCAGAGCTGAATAGAAAATATGGGTCTGTGGCTAGGGTAGAGCACTTGTCTAGCATGCACAAGACTCTGGGTTCAATCCCCAGCACTGCAAAACAAAAAGGAAATATGGGTCTCTGGACTTGGGGTCCCATATCCTGATGTGAAAAAGGGGGACTACTGGCAGAGACCTTGAAAGTTATCCACCAGGGTGTATCTGTACCTTCCTGGGTTATCATCTCCTTTTTCCCCCATAACTTTAGGCAATACATTCCAGTCTCAGAATCCCAAGCCAAAAGCTTTGGGTAAGTGATTCAAAAGGAGGCACAGCATGGTTTCGCCACCTGCTGCACAAGCACAAGGACCCAAGCTCAATCCCCAGTACCAAAAAAAAAAAAAAAAAAGGAGGCACAGCAAATTGTTGTAGCAAAGAGACAAAATAATGTTAGACCCCAAAAGCAAAGACTTAATGCCCTTTTGAAATAAGAAAGGACAGAGATACAGACAGTGTATCATGCAGTATGTTAATGTGGATGGGTGGATACAAATGAAGCCATGGTCAAATCAATCCACATCTGCTTCCTGTCAGCTTTCCCTGGAATCACTAAATAAAATTAAGGTGATATCATTCTTTCTTTACCTTCTTTTTCCCATACAAATGGTAAAGGTTCTAGGAAAAACTAATAGATAATATCCCAGATGGGGACACTATGCTGTCCTCTATGGAGGAGACAACAGCACCCTGGGCAACAGAGATGTGGCAGCCCTTATGGAGACCCACACGAAATGGCTCCCATGGGTTTTCCCGCTTCCCTTTTATCACCTTCATCTCTTCCTTCCCTATGCAGCCAAAGTTTTCCTAGAAGGTATCAGGATATACATAAGCCCCCTTGTTTCCTAGGAATAATCAGTTCTACCAGTTCATTCAAACCTCATTTATTAAATATCTTCCATGGAGATGACTAAGTATAGAAACATACCATTAGAAAGATAGACATCGCTCCTAAATTCATGGAGCTTAGGATCTACTGAGCAGATGATTAAAGAAGGAATTTAATCCTGGTACAATAAAAGTCCTTCTAAAGGAAGCCCAGATGCTGTGAGAATCAAACAGAAGTACCACACCTCCTCAGTAGCAGGGAGGCTGGAGGAGGTCTTAGAAGACGTCTCAGGGGAAGTGATGTGCAAAATCAGAGGCACTCAAATAGTGGGGTATATCCCAGTTAACAGGAGCACTAGCAAAGAACAAAGAAGTAGACTTGTACAAGTAGGGCAGGGCTCAGGATTTTTTAAAAAATTAAAGTGGGGCCAGGGATTTAGCTCAGTGGTTTCGCTACCTGCCTCACAAGCACAAGGTCCCGAGTTCAATCCCTGGTACCAAAAAAGAAAATTTAAAGTGAAAGCTTATTACAGAAAAGAAGTATAGCAGGCTGCCCCATAGGCAGAGTAGATTAAGAAGCAAAGCAGGCTGCTCCATCAGCAGAAAACCCTAGAGAAAAGACAGCAGAGCTGGCTACTCAAAAGGGAGAGCACCCCAGCCCCAGGAGATAAATAGTAAAGTTGGCTACTCTATAGACACAGAGTCCCACACAAAGGAACCATTTCACTTCTATGGGGCCTCAAAGAAATGCCATTAATTGTTTATGGTTTCTTTCAAGAAGGGGTGGGGTTTCCAAACCAGGTGGAATATAGTTACTCTGCAAGGACTCTAGATTTTTTTTCTTAACAAGAGAATATACCAAAGTTTGAGGACCACTGCTCTACAGCAGGAGCCAGTATTCTGTAGCCCATGAGTAAATGCAACCTGCCACCTGTTTCTATAAATGTAGTCATGTCCATTCATTCATGTATTGTCTATGGCTGCTACAATGGCACAGATGGGTAGCCATGGCAAAGACTACATGGCTCACAAAAATTAAAATACTCGTTACCTGGCCCTTTACAGAAAAAGGCTTCCAGTCCCTAGTCTAAATGTTGATTTCAAGAAATTCCTACTTCTGTAAATGTCAAGAGACCAACTGATTTAACCTCTACCTTCAAAGATTGTTCCCATAATCACTCCCATAATTTCTTGTCCACCTCCAACATTGTATAGCCCTAACCCACTGCAATGTCATTACTGATTTATGTGTCTCTCTCACCCGAACCTGTGAGTATCACATCTGCTTTATTTACTGTTATAAGTCTCAGCACATAGCACAGTGCCCAGTATATAGTAAATATTCAAAATTATTTTCTAATGATTCACATCTTAATCAGTTGTTTAAGGAAAGAAAGGTGCTATGATTTGGATATGGTTTGGATAAGCCAGTATGATAATGTTCAGGAGATGGAATCTTTAAGGGGTGAGGCCTAAACCAAAGCAACTAAGTCACTGCTCTCAGAAGGGATTAATGTAATTCTCTTGGGACCCCAGTTAGTTTTCATAATGAAGAGTCGTTATAAAAAGAGTGAGCCTGGACTTAAAGTATAGCTCAGCAGCAGAGCACATACTTAGCACTGGTTGAATCTCTAACACCAAATAAATAAGTTAATAAATAAGAGTTATCCTGGCCCCTGAATTATTTCTTATCATGTGACTGCTTTCTCCCTCTCAAACACGCTCCCATTATGAGGCCATCTGCTATACTGTGACGTAGCCAAGGGAATCCTCACCAGAAGTTGTACCAAAGAGTCATCCAGTCTTGAAACTTCAGCCTCCAAAACTGTAAGGCAAATAAACCTCTTTTCTTTATATATTTCCTAGCCTCAGGCATTTTGTTATACAACAGAAGATGAACGAAGACCAAGGCTATGAAGGTAGCAGGGGAAGCAAAGTCTACAATATTGGAGGGTGACAAACCTGTAGTTCATCTGTGGATGGTACGGTGGACTCCTCCTGCTTCCAGAAGGCTTAAGAGTAAGTAGTAGCTTTTCATTGTTCAGGGCAGCCTTGAGACAGTGCCCCAAATCCATCACTACATTCTGCTATAAACTTACTAAAGTCAAAGCTTCCCGCCCTCCGGACTTCCTCTGCTGCAGCAGGCAAGTTGCTCATGGCAACCATCTCATTTATAGTAGAATATATGTCATGTGCTATAAGCTCCTACAATTTAAATTCCTTACTTGTTGGCATTATTACCTCAACAAATGCCATGATATATTTTTCCTTGATGATATCTATACCTACCTCCTTCTCTCCTTATCCACGTTATTTTTGTGTCTCCTTAATTAGCAAATCACCTTCTTGGTAAAATTTATATATTCCCCTCACCATAATGACTAACATCACTTTTAAGGCCAGGCTTAACCTGTTCTGTTTAACAGGGGTAATGGTTCTCTCTCCCTGGGATAGGGACAGGGCCTCTGAGTTCACTCACCTGGCTCTTCTACCACATACAGGATGGACTTTCCACTGGAGTCTTCATAGTACTGGAATCTGACAACACAATCATCCTCATTCTTATAGGTACAATTCACTGCATCTTTTCCAGAGTCCTCTGGGGTGCAGGAAAGGAGAATATGGAAAAATGAAAAGCATGTCAATTTCTGGAAGATGGGGTCTTTTCAAATCCCTATCATGAGACTTCTGGGAAAATATGACAGGAAACTCTGTGCCTGACATTAGGCACAATGCCTAGATTTGAGATGGCTATCATGCCTGGCAGTCACTGGCCCTCACTAATATATTTTGTCCCCAACAGGCCCTTTTGGTTCTTATTCCTTCCTCTGGAAGGGACATGCTATGACAATATTACACATTCTTATTCAAAGCCTGGGTCCACTACTTACCAACTGTGTCATCTTGGATATGTTATTTGATCTCAGGGAATCTCTCTTTCTTCATCTACAAAAGGAAAATTATACCCCCCTTACAGGGTTGGTGGAGAATTAAGTGGCATAAAATAGTCCCTAATCTACTGTAATTCCTAACCCTACCCTACCTTTCTGTGCTTCCTCAATGATGCTCAATAGTTTGCTCATGCAGTCCTCATAATTTTCCACTGCAGCCATCTCTCCTCTCTAATTCCCATCAGTTTTGTAGGCTTAATTCCTTCTAACCCTAAAATCTGTTATTCTGACAATGACACTGTTAGCTACCCCCACCAGTTGCACTATGTCCCATACTGGTGAAACAAGATGGGTAAAACTGATACACAATGAGATTAAACAAATGTGCCAAGATCATACAACAGGGCTAAAACATGAGTCTCAAAGCATACTAAACAGACATGAAGTCAACAAACCATCAGTACACCAGTGGTATTACAATACAAAGGAAATAGTAAAGGTTTCAGGAGTAAAGGTTTTCATCTTAATGCACCACTCTCTTCCCTGGGCAAATCAATTCTCTTGAAATCCAACTGTCTCAGTTCACAAAATTAAGATAACAACACTACCATAGTTCTACTTCCTTAGGTTGAGAGAAAATATATGTAATGAACAGGAAAGATACTTTTATAAATTTCATACAGACACGCATTTATGTTTACGATTATTGTGGTGGTGAAGGGAGTGGGAGTACTTAATGAATTAACTTATAAAACTTGCTTGATCTAAATTATAAAAATATCTCAACATTTTTATGGCCTCTCCCCTCTGAGATAATCATAGCAAACCTAGTCTCCTTCAGAGGAAAAACTGCACAAACAATCTCCAAATCACCAATTTCACCCCAGGCCCACTTCTGATATCAGTTAAAGGTCCATAGATCTGGCTCTTTTCATAACATTCTCACCGAAAGCTGACTAACTGATTGTTTCTTACAATGTGGCTCTCACTGAAATTATGTTTCTTGCCTTCATGGGTGATTACCATCTCCCTGGTACCATCCGGTGTCTCACTAACCCAGATAACTTATCAGATGTGCTGACAACAGCAAAGATCATCTTCTTTAAAGTCAAGATGAAAAACAAATCAGAATAGTTGCAGGGAAGAGTTTTTGCTCCCCAACGCCTGTATTTGTGTCTGTTTTATTCTAGGGTGGGGAGGTTCTGGGGGCAGAGATCTAGAAAGTCAGAGGGCTCCGGATAGAGATTTTTTTTTTTGGTACCAGGGATCGAACTCTGGTCCTTGCACTTGTGCAACAGGCAGCAAAACCACTGAGCTAAGTCCCCAGCCCTGGATAGAGATTTTGATTACAAGTTCATAAGGGTGAGGGTTTTCCTCTACAGTAGCCAAACTTTAAGCTAAAGACTGGACATCATTTACCATTCTTAATAAAGTAAACTTGGCAAATGCATACCAGCCAACTAAGCTAAGATAATCACAATCATAGACAACCTCTTTCCAGCTCTTTGGCTCAGATTCTTCTGTAAAATGAGGGTACATTATCTTTCTTTCCTGACAGGCAGTGAAGTTAGGGTTGCCTAATTTATACACCCTTTACAAGTTGCACACAAGATCTTGCTGAGTCTGTGGGCTCCAGGAAAGCAGAAGGACTGAAGAACACATTAGTAAGGGTAAAGGCGAACTCTCTGGAGAGCCAGACTTCACCACGTGCCCACCATGCATCAGGCTTGCTCAACATTTCCGGATATGGGAATTTCTCTTCCATTTAATAGATGGGAGTTGGATAGGTTCTGAACTTGAACTGGAAACATTTAGAACCTAGGTAGGGTTCATGTGACCCTAAGACCTCCTGAACTTACTAAGCTCTTTCACAGGCTCGATCTCATCACGGCAGTAACGGCTGCAGGTGTTTTTCTCATGCAAGTCTCCCCGGTTAAACTTCTTACACTCCACACACTCCCTAAGGGCAAGAGGAAACATCAAAGAAGGCAAAGAATAAGCAGGCCTAAGCACATCCTAGTCTAACTCTGACCTCCACGCATAAAAAAAAGCTGTTCCATTTCAGTAAAATCAAAACACCTGTAGCATGAAGTTCAGGAGTGGAGTGCCCTCCTCACCCACAGAGAGGACCTGGCAGCCAAAGGCCTCTAGATCCTTCATTAAGCTTCTTCATGTCCTATCTGGGGCTGTGACAGGACAGTGAACCCCATACACTTCTGGGAGCCTTAAAGTCACAATCAGTCACATGTAAAATGAAAATTTTATTTAAAAATTACTAAGATTTTCAAGACAATGACAGTAGTGCATTTAAACAAGCATGAGGCCCTTCCAAGTATGGAGTCTTGTACAGCTTCCCAGGTTGCATGCCCGTGGATCCAGCTCCACTTAAAGCAGTAGGAGGAATGGCAGAGCCACAGACTTGGGTAAAAGGGGCTTCTCTGATCCCCAAGCAGGTAAAGGTTACACTAGAGAAATATCCCTGTGCCATATAATGTCCTCCATAACTCTAGCCCCTGCACCTCCTACAGGATCACATCAGCCCTGAAATATTCCAGAGAATATCTGGTTTAGCCTTCCAACTCTGAGGGATTCAGACTGTCACTCTTAGGGCTGGGGATTTAGCTCAGTGGTTCCGGTGTCTGCCTCAGAATGTCACTCTAGGAAAGTTTTCTCCAATTGGAAGCCAGTTGGTACTACCTTGGCCTTTCACAGTTGGCACTACCTCCAACTTTCCCAAAGTTTTTGTTAGAAAGGGGAAAGAAGCCATTTGGCTGGAGGAGATTCAGAAATCTTCAGAGTTGGGGATTCTAGTGCAGTGATTCTAGTCCTCTGGCTCCCAGCCTCCCTCCTCTCTCCAAATCACCAACTCACTTCTTAAAGGTGCAGGCATCTGGACAGGTGGGACACCTCTCACAGGTGTCTCCATAGGATCCAGGCTGGATGCAGACACAGCTGCCACATTCACACTTGCCTCGGCCGCTGCACAGCAGCCCATTGCTGGACATGCAGGTGTCAGTGCGCGTGGTACAGTTGCAGTAGTAGCCAGTCCAGTCAGAGTCGCACAGGCAGTCCCCACAGCTGCACTGGCCATGGCCTGCAAGCACACAGTCCAAGAAGTGCATAGGATGAAGAGACCTCAGTCCCATAACAACAAGCTACAAGGTCCCACCCCACTCTCCCAATCAGATAGATAATAATCCTCCACGTTGGTAAGGAGCTTGCTCTTTACCAGGGGACCCCTCTCCATGTGGACAAACTCAGATTTCTAGGTGTGTCAAGGTGTGGAAGGATTTGGTCCAAGTCACTGTAGAGCAAAAGAGTCTCGGGATCTGTCCAGACCTCCCTCTTTCCTTCTCTCTCTTCTGAATCATTCTACCTTCTCAGCTTGCCAGCTTCAATCCAAGGACTAGAAGTCAGCTTTTTAGCCCAGAAGGCAGGCACAGTACTAAGCCACAGTCTGTATCTACACAAGGCATTTGGGATCCTTGACAATGTGGCCTGATGATGGCAAAAGAGTTCCTAGGCCCCTTGTAACCTGAAAAGATTGCTCCCTTCCCTGACCTGACGTGATCTGACCTGAGAGGTCTTCTGTTGCCATCATCTATCCTCTCCCAGTTGGGTTAAACAGCAACATAGCTTTTAGTTTGGACAAGATGGCCCCTCCTACTAACAAACCAGCTACCAATGTCCATTATTCCACTTCTCAAATCAGCTAGGTGTCACTTTGTAAGGTGAGAGGCTGGGCTCTGGGCAAGTGTACACAAGACAAGAAACCTGCACTATAGCAGGTGGAGGAGCAGAGAGGTCTGAGAACAGGGTTGTGCCCAATGCCTGGGAAGGAAATGTATAAACACTGTTCCAGATGCATAGGTAGCTGGGGTGAAGCATCACAAGGACAGACAGAAGCTGCCAAGAGCTCATAGAGTCAGCCAATGAAGCCACGAAGGACAGAGAACAAATATAGCCTACCTCCCAGCTGGCTGAGGAAGTTAACACGTTCCTGCCAACTTGAACCATCAGTGGTATATGCATGACTATCCCATCAGGCAACTTGTACTACCCCTTGACATAGTCATGCATCTACCACGGGTGATTTAGAGCCACCCAGCAGCAAGACATGAATTACATTCCCATCAAAAACATGTTAAATAAATCCTGTGAATTCCAGAGGGAAAAGACAGCACAGAAGCTAAATGAAAAAAGAGATTTTCCTGCAGTAGAGACCATCATTAGCAATGATCTTACATAGCCCAATGGCCTCCAACAAGCCTCTGATGGCTCATTCATATTCCTGCCTTCAGACTCAAAAGTTGCAGAAATATCCTGGTTATCTTCTCAAACTGACATCATTAAATCACATATGGCCCAGTAGAGCAGCCTTGGAAAGCATCTATTTTCTATTTTTCAAACCAACCAAGGAAGTAAATATTCCCAGTAGAAAGTAATGCCTACAATAGCAATGGTAATGTTCATGAACATTTGTTGAGCATTTAATACGTGCCATGCACTGTGCCAAGTTCTTTAGTAGTATGTTGTTCTATCTGTTTCTCAAACTTGGCACTTTTTGATATTTTGGGCCAGACAGTTCTTTGTTGTGGGGTGCTGTCCTGTATGCTGCAGAATAGCATCCTTGCACTATACCATCCTATCAGTAGCATCCTTTCAGGTATGACAATCGAAGTCATCAGACATTGCCAAATGTCCCCCATGAGGCAAAATATCTCCTTCTTTTCAGTCGAGAACCAATTTTTTTTCTTTGTAAGAGGGATTGAACTTAGGACCTTGAGCTTGCCAGGCAGGCCCTGGAAGAACCAATTTTAAAATATCAGTCAACATTATCAGCCACTCACATGCTTAAAACCCTGCAAAGACTCCACACTGCCTCAAGTCCAAAGTCCTGAGCAAATATTCAAGTGTTTTACAAAGTGCTCTACCTGCTTCATTGCCCACCTCACATTTCCACATATTAGCTACCACACAGGGCCATCTTCTCCACTATCCTTATATCCAGGGGCTCATGCTTAGAATGAACTACCCCCCCAAGAATGTCCTTACCCCTACCTAGAATGTCCTTTCATCCTGTGACCGCTACCAAACTCCTACTCAAATGTTCCTTCCTCTCAGTAAGTTTTTCTTTAAAACCCTACTCAAATATTCCATCTTCTTAGTAACTTTTTCTGACTTTCTCAGGCAGAATCAAGTGTCTGCTCATGTGTTCTCGAAGCACATTATATCTACTTCCTTTTCTACTCTTATTTTATGGCCATTTGCTTGCTTATCTATTTCTAAATTGTGAGCTCCTTGATAAAAGAGAACATGCCATATTAATAGTAGCATGAAATGTGGTATACAGTAGGCATACAATTCATGTTTGCTCACTTATACATTCATTCAACAAATATTTATTGAGTTCATTCCACATGCAGGGCAGAGGAGATTCAGCAGTGAACTGTAGGACAAAGTTCCTATTATTATGGAGCCTACAGTCTACACATGCATTCACCTATATGTGCCCTGTGTTATGCTATTATAGTACTGCAAAGAGCTGTCATCCCTGGTGTGGAACATTATTTACTTTAGTATCTACCTGAGTGCAGTAGTGGGACAGACCCAGAACTTGGGGATCATGCTGCATAAAGGCAGTCCTTAACTCACAATGCTGTATCCCCCTAATACTCATTTAACAAGGCTTTAAAAGTTGGCTCCTAAACCCTGCAGGTGATTCATTCTCCAGAACACTGAATCAGGAAGAAGACAATGCATAATAAAAATCTGATTGCCAATCAAAGGAAAGGCAGGGGGCAAAGGGGAAGTAACCTAAATTGGTCTAGAAGCTACATCACTGTGACTACTCCTCTGAGAAGATGGAGGAGAGGGGTGATACAAAGCCAGGCTCACACAGCAACTAGCTGGCATCTACTGCTCCCAGCAACTCCAATGGGTCCAACAGCTAGTGTCTCTTGGCCACTATGAGTCCCTCTGCCTGTGACCTCACCACCTTCTTCTAGTAACCACATTGGCATTCAAGGCTCAAACACACCAAAATTAAACAAACAATAAGGCTCAATCACACCTTTGCTGCTTTAGAAAGAAATGGCTGTTTCCCAGGAAGCCTGAGGAGCAGAAGCCTAGCACCCCAGCTGCCAAGTATATCTAGAGATTAAGGATATCGGGCTGGAGGAAGATAGAGAAAGTATAAAGGCTCTGAGTTTTAGGTTAGGTTCCCTACATATACAACTTTCAGTAATTCCTGTTCCAGTTATTATAGACAGCTAAATTCGGTAGAAATATTATAAGCAGTCAGGAAGGGCTAGGCCCTTGACGGAGTCAGTGCAGAAGATAAGAACTCATTACAACCATGGCTGGAGGCACATTCAGTAAAAGCCAACCCTCAAGATAAAGATGGAATGACTAAGCCTACATACCCCCCTGAGGGATAAACAATATACTATAATTGGTATTACCTGGTCCAATAAAGTCTAGAGATAGGCATCAGTCAGCTGAGTGGGTGACCAGGACCTCCTGACTGATCTCTTCCAAAAAAGGTCCTTATTCATTCCTTGTACACTCACTGTGAGCTGTTTCCCCACTGGATCAATAGTACCTAAGCAGCTATACTTGTAATCTTTTGTTTGATCATAATTTTGTCTCATGTTGTACCCACCCCGTGATTTGGGACTATAAAACTTCCTGTGTAAAGTGGGCTCATTGGCAACCCACTTGGGTCCCCTCCTGTCTCTCAGGAGCTATAGCTCTCTCCCTCAATAGAATTCATTCTTCAAGGGCCAGGGATTTAGCTCAGTGGCACTGCGCCTGTCTCACAAGCACAAGATCCTGAGTTTGATCCCCAGTACCAAGGGAAAAAAGAAAGAATTCATTTTCAGTTTTGGGGAACACAAACTCGGCATGTCTGACATCTAACAGGTTGAGATTTATATTATTTCCTCTATATCATTTGGAGGTCCTATATCACAGTGGCTTTCTGGGGAAGTGGACAGGAGGGAGGGATGCAGTCTATGGAAACAATCACAAGTCAGCAAGAACGTAATCTCAGACAGAGACTGCCTTCAGCCTAATTCCACAGTGGGCTCTAGACCAAGAATAGCACCACAGAGGTAGGCCCACCTTGAGGTAAAGGGACTGGCCTTGTGTAACCCTGGTCCTTCACTCATTGGTCAGCATCTGAGAGGAAGGGAGCTCCTATCAGCCAAGGGCCAGTCTCCAAAGCAGGGGCAGCTGTGAGCCTTTATCAGCCAAGCCTCACAGCACAGTGGGATCCCACAGGGTCTACTATGCCCTACTTTTGCCCATGGCTCGTGGACAAGGAAAGACTGACACCACAGAGTCCTGGCCACACCAGAGCCCTCGGCCTCCTCAGAAACTCTTGTCCCACAGTGTTTTCTTTATGAGGCAAAACAAAGTGATCTTTGACAAGATGATCTGCCAGGCCAGCCAGGAAGTAAGGCTGGGAGTGGAAGTGACCCCAAGCCCTGGCACCGTCAGCCCTTAAAAGGAAGCCACAGTGTGGTAATGTCAGAGGATTGGTACCCTCCCAGCAGAAGGGAGGTCAAGCCTGGGTTCAGAGGAAAGTTAGAAGCGGGGAGGGGGCCAAAATGAAAAAGAATGAAAGACAAGGAGTAGGGAAGAAGGAATCCAGCTGGGGAAGGGAGAGAGAAGAGTGTGTTTCAGGTCAGAGGGGACGCCATCACTCTTCCTGCATAGCTAGACTTCTGGCCTCACCCTTCTCTTCTGCTCTCCTCTGGGAACTACCCTCCTTTAGGAACCAGACTCCTCCATGTAGCTGCCCAGATCTCCCCCTCCACCATGAATTTATCTCCGGAAGAAACCTGTAAGACTCCCCTAGGTCACCTCATTTCTGAGACCTGGCAGATTTTGCCTCATGATGTGAATTACCCTTAGGTAAGTTAATGAAAGGCAAAACTCTTATGAGTTTCCAGCCTACATGACTACTGCACAGAATCTGGCTCAAAGGAACAAAGGATGCTCAATCCATCTGTGTTCATGAATGCAGCCAGTGGGAAAGTACATTGAGGAAAAGGACACACTCCCTGATGTGTAAGGCAGGGTGCTGACAGAGGGCAGCCTCAGACAATACCTAAAGTAGCGAGGGAGTAGGTTGAGTAACCAGCTGCTATGCTTAGATGCCAGGGGCTAGAGAAATACCACTCCTGCCTCATGAACCCTTTCTTGTGGCAAAGAACAGGACATGGGATCATCAGCTCTGGTGAAGGACAATGACAAGCTGGGCTACAGCTCTGAGAGGTCAGGAATCATATGGACTGAATGCCAGCACAGAGGAAGCACTCCATGATTGTGTGCCCCTGAGTTCTGTCACTGAGGATGTAATGACAGCAACACAGGATCCAGACGTGAGGCCACTGGGCACCAGACACCCTGGGAAGCAGTGGTGGAGTGGGGCTGCTTCAGCTGCCTGAGTTCCCCCAAGATGACAGTGGAGTGCTGAGGATGAGCTATTCTTGCACCGCCAGGGGCAGGAACTAGGGATGGTATGCAGGCAGCTAGTTTTCTTTGGTAGCCTCAGTGGGGCCGACAACCAAAGGAAACATGCTCTGTCTGGGAACCCTCTCACCAGCCCAGGAACAATCAGGTCTTGGAGTAGTGGGGGCAGGGGCACCCCCAACAGGCTATCTGTAGGCTTCTCCTAGGGAAACCCCTTCCCCCTCAGTCCCAACCTTCTCCTCTAGGGGCTCCTGCTCCAAACTCAGCCGTTTCCTCTGGTACTGTGAATATGACACAAATACTATTAAATATTAAAATGAGCTGAAATCCCTACTGTGCCCCCCAATTCAAACTGCTGTTGTGAACCTGATCTCTCTCTCCTCTGCTCTAATACTGATATCACTTTTCCTCCAAACTGTCTCTCAAATTGTGTTGGCATAAATGTTGCAGATAATAAACTACTTTCTATTTTGAGGGCATTAGATTCATCCTTCTAATTGAGCTTTTTTAAGAGCTGATTTAGTGTTAAAGTAAGCATCTTTGTCAATTGGCTCAGGTGGTTAAACTCCAATGCAAATGAAGTCAAACTGGATCATGGATTATCATATAGAGCAATTATAATCTCTTTGTTTAGTTGGTCACATAATGCACCCATAACCCAGTTCCAACTAACTTGCAAATGTCTGAAGACTGTATTTGACAAGAGAGATTCAACTACAGTGATTATGGCCCAGCAAATACCTATGTCCAGGGCCGGGGATTTAGCTCAGTGGCACCTCGCCTGCCTCACAAGCACCAGGTCGAGTTCGATCCCCAGTACCAAAAAAAAAAAAACCCTCTGTCCAGAGCCCAAGTAAAAATCCGTAATACCCATTTGCCCTCTGAGAGTGTTGTCGATATGACTGCAGCTAAAGATTACGTTAGCATTATTTCAACTTCTAGCTGGAGAAATATCTCATCAGGGATCTCTGGACAAGGAGAAATCAGTTTGAGATTAACAGTAGGCTTTAAGATCTTACTGAATTTTGTTGTAAGAGGAACAATTCAGCATCCTACAGGTAAAAGGACTCAAAATTATAATCCCCATGATATACACAACAACTCTCTATGACAATGCTATCCTTTCTGCTATGTTGAAAAGTTCTATACCTACGCAATCCATTATGGTAGTCACAAGCCATATGTGGATATTTACCAACTAAAGAACTGAATTTTTAATTTTTTCTATCTTAATTTAAATAGCTATATCTGACTAGTGACTACCCTATGGGACAACACAGATCTAGAATCAAAAAAGTAATACTAGTACCAATAGTAACTACAGGAGTAACAAAATAGGGCTAACATTTAATAAGAGCATACCATTTTCCAGACATTGTTCTAAGTATATTAGCTCATTAAATAGGCTTCAATGTCTTATATATACACTATATACTTAGTCTATAGTATATATACTATATTTACTGTCTCGTAATAAAATGTAAAATTTTACTTTACTATAAAGTAAACTATACTATACTATAAAGTACTGTAAACTTTACTATACATTCTGACCTCATATATCTTCTTTCTATCAGCACTAAAATCTTAGTCACCGTCAGCAATTTTTTTAGTGAAAAAATATATTAGTCCTTTTATTTAAAAAGACTAGGAATTTAAAACATTAGCAGAGTAGGCAAAGGAAAGGTAAGAAAAAAATCACTTCTTCACCTTGATGGTTCCCACTCCCTTCAACCCTCAGTTTAGCTTCCATCTACCCCACCAGCAAGGGAAAAGATCAATTTCTCTCCCTTTTTCATTTCTGTTTTTCTGCCTTTGAAACAGAATAACATCTCCTCCACTTGCCCAGCTCGAGCCCTTGCCTATGTTTCCAGGACTAAAGTGTGAGTATGCATGACCACCGGGCTATGTGTGCACTCAGAGCATGCATTTCTACTCACCTGAGCACATCTCCCCCTTGTAGCGGACACAGGAGAAGTCATCACACTCACAGTACTTGCCCGTGATCTTGCCAAAGTCACTGCTATGGCAGAGGCACTGGCCACAGAGGCACTCGCCCCGCTGGCTGCAGACGGGCTGGCCTTTCTTGGGGCTGCACTCATCCTGCTGAGAGGGCCGATAGTCCTCTTCAGAGCACTCACACTGGGACCCCAGCCAACCAGGCCCACAGCGGCACACCCCACACTCGAAGGTTCCATTGCCATTGTTGCAGTGGCGGCTGTAAGGTTCAGCATAGGACTGGCAAGTGCAGTCGCAATCAAAAGTGACCTGGATGGTGAGGCTGTCCTTGAAGCCCACAGGCTTGATGGTGAAGGATTTCTCCTTCTCTTGGGGGCAGCCACGCACCTTGGCCTCGATGCTGAAGCTCACCTGGTTGGAAAGCGAGATGGCATTCAGACCCAAGTGGGTCCAGTCAACACTCCAAACCAGAGGAAAAGAAGCTGCTCCCTGCTCTGTCAAGGAACACCTAGGGTGGGTATCTAATCCTCCTGCAATCTGGAATTCCCCAGCCTTCTTACTACCAAGCAAAACAAAACTGGCATAGCTGTGATATATTTGGCTGGACACAGAGACATAGTTACAGTTGAGAAATAGAAGGCTGTTTTTATTCCACATGTAAAATGAACGAGTTGAAACAAAATAGAATCTGTGATCTTGTGAACACTCTGCTCAAACCAACTAAGCTAGCTGGAATGATCACTTAATATCAGCAAGATACACAAACCACTGTGTTGCATACACAATGCCACAGAGTGGACAACCATAAGCTGAGGACGTACTATTCAATTTCCACATAACATTTCATCACAGGACATTCCGGGCTGCCATACCACCACCCCCAGTGCCCAGGAGGACAGCTGCCCCGAGCCCAGAGAAGGGGAACTTTCCAGGCCACTGTATCACCACGCCCAGTGCCTAGGAGCAGAGCTGCCCCCACTGCAGAGGAGGTGAACTTTCCGGGCAGCCATACCACTGCCCCCAGTGAAAAGGAGGTGAGCCACAAGGATGCCAGCATCACACATCCCTCCCCTCCCACCCCCACTGAAATGAGCAGACACTTAAACAAGTCTCAAAACCAGACCCCCAGATCACCTAAAGCAACCCCAAAGGGAAACAAGATGTATCAATCTCAAACTCAACCACATGGACTCACTGAACTGGCAAAAAAAGAGGATCTCGAAAAATGAAATCAGAAATAACAATAATAACAATAATAATAATTCTGAGGTAACGGCAGAGATTGTGCCCATAGTGCAAGACATGATTAATAAATCTAGAGAGGACACAGATAAAAAAATAGAGGAGCTGAGGAACATGATGGAATCCCAACACAGGAAACAAATGGAATCCATAAAACAGATCCAAACAGATTTCCAGGACATTAAAAACTCCACTGAAAGTTTACACATCAAAATGGGCCAATGTGAGGACAGAATTTCAGAAATAGAAGATAAGATTGCAATTAATCACCAGGGAAAGAAAAATTTCTTTAAAATAGTAAGGGACCATGCAAAATTAATCCAGCAG